TTATATATAGTTATATATGATTATATATAATTATATATGATTATATATGACTTCATTTACAATTCCATATATAATCATGTATAATTATATATAATTATATATACCAATATTTAATTATAGATTTATTACATCTCATTAATTATTGGGTTAATTTTATGGATAGATTATTTAATATGGTCCTACGCAATTCTGTGTAACCGATCAAAATGCAAAATAAATATCTAGATCTAATTTTATGGCTATTACACCAGCGGTCACCCATCCAACTACTAACCCTACTCAATGCGGCTTAACTTTGGTGATCTTCGTGCGTCTTGAAGTTTCTGTCTGCTGTGCTGCTATCTTAGACAATAATGATTTTATGATCTACTTAATGTATCATATGAGTTTATCATAAATATAATATTAAAATTGATTTTATAATATATTTGGATAGTCATAATTCATAATTTATTTATCTTACCGAATTTCATTATAATATAACACTTATTTAAATAATAAAATAAATAATGATTTCACTATTGCGTAGTAGCAGAGCAGGCAAAACATCTCATAGGAAATGTGACAAATTATGTATTTCCGAATTATTTAAACGTAATTATAAACATCATTTTACCCTTTTTGTGATTACCAAAAAAAATTTTTTTTTCAACGAAAAAATTTTTATGTATGTTAATTATATATAAGCATATATAATTATATATAATTATACATGATTATATATGGAATTGTATATGAGGTTATATATATTCATATATAATTATATATGACTATATATAGAGCAATGTACAGCCAAGCAAGATTATATATAATTATATATAGTTATATATATATTCATACATGATTATATATGGAATTGTGTATGAGGTTATATATAATTATATATGATTATATATGACCTCATATACAATTCCATTTATAATCATGTATGATTATATATAACCATATATGATTATATATGATCTTGCTTGGCTGTACATTGCTCTATATATAGTCATATATACTTATATATGACCTCATATACAATTCCATTTATAATCATGTATGATTATATATAACCATATATGATTATATATGATCTTGCTTGGCTGTACATTGCTCTATATATAGTCATATATACTTATATATGACCTCATATACAATTCCATTTATAATCATGTATGATTATATATAACCATATATGATTATATATGATCTTGCTTGGCTGTACATTGCTCTATATATAGTCATATATACTTATATATGACCTCATATACAATTCCATTTATAATCATGTATGATTATATATAACCATATATGATTATATATGATCTTGCTTGGCTGTACATTGCTCTATATATAGTCATATATACTTATATATGACCTCATATACAATTCCATTTATAATCATGTATGATTATATATAACCATATATGATTATATATGATCTTGCTTGGCTGTACATTGCTCTATATATAGTCATATATACTTATATATGACCTCATATACAATTCCATATATAATCATGTATGATTATATATAATTTTATATACTTATATATATTTGTATATGGAACTATATATAATCCTGCATGGTTGTATATTGCTCCATATATAGTCATATATAATTATATATGATTATATATAATCTCATACACAATTCCATATATAATCATGTATGATTATATATAATTATATATGATTATATATAATTCTATATAATTATATATGTGATTCCATATATAATCATATATGATCATATACAATTATATATGATTATATAGAAACATTTTTTCTCGGGTGTCTATAATGTTTCTAATATTAATATTGAACTTAATTTAATAATAACAATGACTAGCGATTGTGACCGAACGCGAAATGGCGGTGACCTTCAGCCGACGTGTTGCCTGGCTGACGCCGCCGACCCGAGAAATAAAATCAGACCTGATAATTGTACCTGGAGTTTTACGCTTTATTAATTTCCTACTCGTGCACTCCCTCGATGAGCTACAACTCCTTTTTCCAGGCTGGTGTAAGTTTTTCCTTGGAATAAATCCTCGGCAATTATCTCCTCGGGTTACTGCTTGGCAGCGAAAATCCGGTCACCGTCACTCGTGCTCTGGATATTTCTCTTGAACCTGTGTTCAGTTCTTACTAAAGTTGCGATGCGTTCAACGAGATTCCTCGGTCACAATGAGTCTTCTCGGTCTTGTCGTTGTATTTCTTTCTTCACCCTACCTTCCCCACTCTCTCTCTCTAGGCGCTAACGCTTCCCCCTCGGGGACTTACTCACTAACTTACAGCTAGAGGCGCGAGTACTTAAGAACACAGCGCTCTGGGGAATCAGTCGATAACTAACTCACGGATCGGGAACCTTCTCTGGGTAAAGAAGGCCCCGTGTACTCCGTTACAATATTTTCTAATATATTCCATATCTAATCGCTTAAACTTGCACTTATGACGTTTTTGAGCTCTTCGAGCTCAAAGAGATAGCTGTTCTATATGCTTTTGAGCTCTTTGAGCTCAAATTTTAAAGCAAGATTATGAAAATGACGGCGACGACATAAAAATAATAAATTATCTAATTAATCAGTCTAATTCATCATAATATTCAATGTGTTGTAGGATTAATTTTGTATTTTCGAGGAAAGTATTTTTTAAAAGTTTAGTGCTCGAACTGACAATTGGACTTTAAGTCCAGTATATACCTTTGGTAAGAGAGAAGGATTTGTTGTTAGTCCCGCACCAGTCACACTCAGTCAAATGATAATTACGAAAAACTTAAAAAGTAATGGACGGTTTGTTGACAAAGGGATCTTGTTAATTAGTTATTCTTCTATATTATAAGATAAATTACATAATTATTGCTTATAATTTGATGGAATTCATTTTTAAGCATGAAAAACAAGGTAAAATAAGTAAAACGGCGTTTTTTGAGGTGGGGGCGCTGAAAACTTTATAAAAAAATGTCAGAATTGAAAAAATGAATAGTCTATCTTAAAGTAGAGACTTTAAGGATGTTAAAAATACCGGCGAAGACATAAAAATAATTAGATATCTATTTTTAATCCTTAGATGAATTTAAAAAGTAATGGACGGTTTGTTTACAAAGGGATGTTGTTAATAAGTTATTCTTCTATATTATAACATAAATTTTACTATAGTATAAGTTTCAGTCACATAATTATATATAATTGATGGAATTCCAGAGTCAAATGTCCCACCAGTCACTATGGAATGCCCTGTAAGACATTTTATTCTACACCCAATATTTAATTAAATAAAAATAGTCAAAGTAAAAAATTCATAATTTTTTAAAAATTAACTCTTTAAAATTCTATCGCTTAATTAAAAATAGTAAATTAATTATTTTTATTTCTTCGCCGGTATTTTTATAATCTTTAAAGTCTTAGCTTTAAGATCCGCTATTAATTTTTTAAGAAATATTATTTTAAATAAATATCCAAGTATTTAATATTATTTTAATTTCCTATTTTTTCCAATTATTATTTTTAAAACTTAATCTTTTATAACTTTTAAACGGCTTATCTCATTCGAAGAGTTCAAAATCATAGAATAGCTATCTAAAATGATCATTTTCAGCTCGAAGAGCTCAAAAAAAAAAATGAATAAATGTTGAGCGCTTAGGTATGGAGTTAGCGGGAAGTTGCAGGGATAACAAGAAAATTTTTAGTTCAAAATTTAATGCCAAATGAACTGCATCTATTAATTTTACAAAAAAAAAATTTATTTCAATTTAATAATTCGAATTAGATTCAATGTTTAGGTTTTCGAAGATGCTTGAACTTTATTTAGATTCTGTGAGTTAAACGCCGTAAAAATAAATGTTGATTTATTTAAAAAATTCAGTAGAACCACAAAAAGTTCCAAATAGTGCTCAAACATTTTTATTGTTTTTAATCGAACAAAAAAATGTTTTAGATAAAAATGGTACTAACAAGTGTCCTCTTTAAATTAAACTTTATCTGGTTCTGTAATATTGATTAGTTCATAAGTTATTTTCTAATAAAAAAAAATCCTCCGGGAATTATGTAGCAAATTTTCTGACATAATTTCCCTCCAAAATTTTATAACACACAGACGCTTTAACGTCCACATCAAACAAATTTTAAAATAATTAATTACTGAATAATAAATAATTAAAGTAAATATTTCGAAGGTGGGATCTGGAAGCCAAAGCTTCTAAGTGGTCAAAATGAAAAATAAAACGATTTTTTTTATGCTGCTATTTTTATTGTTGAAATATTACATCAAATATTTTATGTAAGGATTAATTATTCGAAATCAAGATTCACAAGATTCAAGGTTAATTATTGTCGGCGTCTTATTTCTAGCGTCCGGTAGCTAAAAAAAAAAAAAAAAAAAATATTATTATTACTGAACTAAGGAAAGGTAAAATCGATTTATGTGTAAGTTATCAGAAAAATATTTTATAGGAAAATATCATTAAAGAAATAAAATTTGAGAATTTAGCATGCCAAAGATACTAACGAGGTGGTTTCCCAGGTGTCAAGCATATTCTTTCAGACCCTACACCTATTAAGCAAGCCATCCCGCTCGGACAACTTGGTATGTTAATATCACACTGGAAAAAAAATTTAGTCAAAAAATGATTATTTTATTTATGAGATTGACAATGAGTTTATAGGTGTTGCTTACACGTGCGATTCCGGTAGCGCCAGTGCTAGCTAGTTTTTCGATTATGAGAGCATGGACAAAAGCCACCATACTAATTAGAAGAAACACCAGCAAAAGCTTCGACATGGTAGTTTATTTTTTGATAGTCTGAAAGATAAATAAAATTTTATATTAGAATTTGCCTAATAGTTTGGAATTTAAGTTTCTTGACGCGAGGGCGCTGAAAAGTTTGGGAAATAATTTTTTTTAGGGAAAATTTTATTGTGAATTTTGAAGCTAAGGCTCTTAGGATTATAAAAATACTGGCGAAGACATTAAAATGATTAGTTGTCTAATTTTAATCCACCATCGAAGTCTTAGAATATATTTATTCTCGGAAATTCTAGTTTTTTTAAAAGTCAACTATTATCATTAATTAAACAACAACTGGGCTCTGAAAAAAATGTTTTAGGTAAAAAAGGGACCTACGAGTGTCTTCTTACAATTAAAATTTGACCCGCTCCGTAATAATGATTAATTCACAAGATATAGATAATAATTAAAAAATTAATTGTTACTTACGTAGCAAGTAATCTGATGATTGCTGAATGAGGTTTGGAATTTCGACTGCTCTGGTCAGTATTTATACCGAAAATTTAACCCCGTTATTCCCAAAAATTTTGAAATCTTCAACGATCGCTGCAATGTTGACATTACAACAACAACAACAACAACAACAACAACAACAACAACAACAACAACAACAACAACAACAACAACAACAACAACAACAACAACAACAACAACAACAACAACAACAACAACAACAACAACAACAACAACAACAACAACAACAACAACAACAACAACAACAACAACAACAACAACAACAACAACAACAACAACAACAACAACAACAACAACAACAACAACAACAACAACAACAACAACAACAACAACAACAACAACAACAACAACAACAACAACAACAACAACAACAACAACAACAACAACAACAACAACAACAACAACAACAACAACAACAACAACAACAACAACAACAACAACAACAACAACAACAACAACAACAACAACAACAACAACAACAACAACAACAACAACAACAACAACAACAACAACAACAACAACAACAACAACAACAACAACAACAACAACAACAACAACAACAACAACAACAACAACAACAACAACAACAACAACAACAACAACAACAACAACAACAACAACAACAACAACAACAACAACAACAACAACAACAACAACAACAACAACAACAACAACAACAACAACAACAACAACAACAACAACAACAACAACAACAACAACAACAACAACAACAACAACAACAACAACAACAACAACAACAACAACAACAACAACAACAACAACAACAACAACAACAACAACAACAACAACAACAACAACAACAACAACAACAACAACAACAACAACAACAACAACAACAACAACAACAACAACAACAACAACAACAACAACAACAACAACAACAACAACAACAACAACAACAACAACAACAACAACAACAACAACAACAACAACAACAACAACAACAACAACAACAACAACAACAACAACAACAACAACAACAACAACAACAACAACAACAACAACAACAACAACAACAACAACAACAACAACAACAACAACAACAACAACAACAACAACAACAACATGATCGTTATAATTCCTACAATTATCTTGAGAATGATGTTTCATGTTGGAGACGATATTTATATGGCTGTGTTACAGGTCTACTCATAAAATCTCTACTCACAGCCATCAACGACATCTGCACTCAATTACATTTTTATTCATAATCATCTTCATTCAGTCACAACTTTATTCATTAAAATTTTTACTCTGATTCAACTTTATTCAATATTATTTGCCTTCAGGTAAAACTTTAATCAGTTACAACCTTACTTAAATTCAACAGTAGTCAATTACAACTTTGCTCAGTTTCAATTGTATTCATTTTCAAGTCTATTCACTGAATTTCTAACTCAGTTACATCTCTATTCACAAAGAATCTATTCACTTACATTTGTAATCATTTACAACTGTACTCACGTTCATCTCTACTCACGAATTTTTACATTATCAATTAACCTTAAACTTGTGAGTAGAGATGAACGTGAGTACAGTTGTAAATGATTACAAATGTAAGTGAATAGATTCTTTGTGAATAGAGATGTAACTGAGTTAGAAATTCAGTGAATAGACTTGAAAATGAATACAATTGAAACTGAGCAAAGTTGTAATTGACTACTGTTGAATTTAAGTAAGGTTGTAACTGATTAAAGTTTTACCTGAAGGCTAATAATATTGAATAAAGTTGAATCAGAGTAAAAATTTAAATGAATAAAGTTGTGACTGAATAAAGATGATTTTGAATAAAAATGTTACTGAGTGCTGATGTCGTTGATGGCTGTGGGTAGATTTTATGAGTAGACCTGTAACACAGCCATATAAATATCGTCTCCAACATGAAACATCATTCTCAAGATAATTGTAGGAATTATAACGATCATGTTGTTGTTGTTGTTGTTGTTGTTGTTGTTGTTGTTGTTGTTGTTGTTGTTGTTGTTGTTGTTGTTGTTGTTGTTGTTGTTGTTGTTGTTGTTGTTGTTGTTGTTGTTGTTTTTGTTTTTGTTGGTTGTTGTTGTTGCTGTTGTTGGTGCTGTTGATAAGAAGCTATTTTTAATCTAAATTCTTGATTTTGCCGTTTTAATTTTACTATTTCCTCTTCCTTCATTCGATTGTCTTCTAATAGTTGCGGCACCGACGGATTTGAGTCAACTTTCTGAAAATGAAATACATTGATTGAGTGATGTTACGAAATTTATCGCTTAATAATCGAAGTAATAAGTATAAACAAAATATTATATGAGAATCGATAAAATTAAACTTACCGAAATACTGGCTAAAATAGGTCGGGTGAGATTTTTATCTTTTTTTGTTGATATTGAAGGTGGATTCTGTGAAAAGGTAATTATATTATTCTATACCGTTATTACTTATAAGTGAGACTCAATATATTTTTTCCCAATACAATTATAATTTCCCATTATATGTATAAGAGTTTTGTGTTTATGGTATTTATTTTTTTTTTTATTTTTACGAATGTACATTTTTTAGATTAATTGTTTATTATTTCTGTCTGTTTTAGAAGCGAAGTTTACAATTGAAAAAATTTACTGAAAATGTGTACTACTAATACTTTAATTATTTTCCAAAAACCACTAACGTAAGCAGTTGAATTAAAAGAATTGAAAAGAAAAGACGATTCAATTGATATTCGAATTTGTATGTATAATTTATTCAATATTTTTCTGCCTGCAAATTTTGGTCACTAAGATTATTGATTTAATTTTTATACAATTAAAGTTCATAAAAATTATTTCTCTTACAAGAAAATAAATGTTTTGAAATTAAAATTAAAGTAATTTTTTTTTTTTTCAATTTATTTAATTCAAAGATATTGAGAACTTTATCACATTTTGAATAATAATATTGAACTATATTTCTCAATATTTATTTTATTCTATAAATTATCACTCAGACGTTTGCTATCTGAGACAAATTGTTGAAACATATAAACTGGTAAAAAAAGTTAACTTGACTCAAGAAAAAAATTCTTGAACCAAAAATATCACTTTTAATAGTTTGATCAACAAAGCAAGTACAATTGATTTGAATTAGCAAAAATTTCTCGGATCAAGAATTTTTTAAATTGACTCAAGATGATTGAAGTCTCCAAAATGATATTCTCGCTTCAATAAGTTTTCTTTTGAATCAAGTTATTTTTTATCAGTGCATGATTATAAAGAAACTTGCGATTTAGGTATACGAAGAAAATAATCATTAGAATAGTTATGTAGATTTACTTTTACTTTAATCTACATTGCTCTCTGGTCATCTTATAATCAGAGAAAATTTTGAATTTGTTCATGAACCATAATATATCTTTTCATGGTTGCAAAAATTACAGACCAATTTAATAAGCAATTAGATATTTTATAGTTAAATTAAATATAAAATGTATGAAAATGAGTGCGTTTTTTTTTCTATTATTAAAATTTATACAGGGTGATTCAGGATAACTTTTACGGCTAAAAAATTTAGAAAATGAGGACGATTCTAAGCATAAAGTTCCTCAGTTATTTTTAAAAATTTTAAGTAGTTTTTGATTTATTCACCAATTGTTTGTGAGAACTGGAATTTGAAAAAATGTAAAAAAAAAATGAATAATTCAATTTGGCAACATCGCAATAGTTAACTTCGTCATACATTAATTTTTGATTTATTTAAAAAGTCCGAATTCTATAAAAATTCATAAGGATAAAACAAAACACGTTATCAATCTCGAAAATAATTTTAAGCAAATTGTCTTTGCTTTCCTTTTTTACTATTTCATTAATTAACTATAATTACAGGTATTATTATATTCATGATAATAAATATAATATCAGCACACAGAAATTACTCGATTTTACTTCTGCTTAATCAAATAAATACAGCATGTAAAAATTTCAGTTTTGGGAATTCTTATACCTAACCGGTTGAAATTGAAAAGAGAGAAAAACTTGATGACTAAAGGTTAAAAAAATTTAAAACAAAATTTAAGTCAAAAATTAAAACAAAATTCAAGACAAAAAATAAGACTAAAACCAAGACAGGAAGTAATATAAAATGTATGAAAATGAGTGCGTTTTTTTTTCTATTATTAAAATTTATACAGGGTGATTCAGGATAACTTTTACGGCTAAAAAATTTAGAAAATGAGGACGATTCTAAGCATAAAGTTCCTCAGTTATTTTTAAAAATTTTAAGTTGTTTTTGAGTTATTCACCAATTGTATGTTAGAACTGGAATTTAAGATAATATAAAAAAAAATGAATATTACAATTTGGCAACTTCGCAATAGTGAACTTCAAGTCATACATTAATTTTTTATTTATTTAAAAAGTCCGAATTTTATAAAAATTCATAAAGATAAAACAAAACACGTTATCAATCTCGAAAATAATTTTAAGCAAATTGTCTTTGCTTTCCTTTTTTACTATTTCATTAATTAACTATAATTACAGGTATTATTATATTCATGATAATAAATATAATATCATTATACAGAAATTACTTGATTTTACTTCTATTAAATGAAATAAATACAGCATGTAAAAATTTCAGTTTTGGGAATTCTTATACCTAACCGGTTGAAATTGAAAAGAGAGAAAAACTTGATGACTAAAGGTTAAAAAAATTTAAAACAAAATTTAAGTCAAAAATTAAAACAAAATTCAAGACAAAAAATAAGACTAAAACCAAGACAGGAAGTTTTGATTTTAGTCTTATTTTTGTCTTGAATTTTGTTTTAATTTTTGACTTTAATTTTGTCTTACTTCTTATCTTGATTTTTGTTCTACATTTTTTTAACTTTTTGTCTTTAAGTTTGTTTTTCCTTTTAATGTTAACCGGTTAGGTGTTAAAATTTCCAAAAATGAAATTTTTACATGCTGTATTTATTTGATTTAACAGAAGTAAAATCGAGTAATTTCTGTATGCAGATATTATATTTATTATCATGAATATAAAAATGCCTGTAATTATTGTTAATTATTAAAATAATAAAAAAGAGAAGCAAAGACAATTTGCTTAAAATTAAATTTGAGATTGATAACGTGTTTTGTTTTATCTTTATGAATTTTTATAAAATTCGGACTTTTTAAATAAATAAAAAATTAATGTATGCCTCGAAGTTAACTATTGCGACGTTGCTTAATTGTAATATTCATCCTTTTTAATTTTTTTTCAAATTCCAGTTTCCAATTCTCACATATGATTGGTGAATATCGTGAATACTTCTAAATTACTAAAAATTTTTAATAATGACTGAGGAAATTTATGCTTAGAATAGTCCCCTAGACCAAAATTTTCTCGCTGTAAAAGTAATTCTGAATCACCTTGTATATAAATATATATTTACGATATTCATTGGTGTTCTCATAAAATGAAGCAAATTTCTTGTTTTTATTTGTTTATCAGAATTTAAATACACAAATATTTATGACCACGAAATTTCTTAATATATTCATTGAGTAACAAAAAATTAGAAAAAAAAATTATTTCTCGTGTCTTGTTTTAATGAAAAAATAGGATAAAAATTGATCGAAATATGTTATTTTAAAACAAAAGTATAAATATAATTTCAATTGTTTAATAAAACTCTTTAATTATTGAAAGTAGTGTATCATGAGTAAAAGAACCAAATATTGACCAGGCAGCGTGAAAACTTAATTTAAAAAAATCTAGTATTTTTATTTAATATTCAGGGCATAATTATTAATTTTTCGTTATACTTGAAAAAAATATTTGTGCAGGGACAAAAAAAAATATACAAAATTTTTAGAATAAAAATAAAAGATATTTGTGTACAAACATTAGAAAGTTGTGAAAACTGGTAATTATAACTTAATCTTGCTATGATTGGTCATTTATGATCAATTTATTTATTTATTGGATTTATATGCCAGGGCTTAGCCGAATAGCAGATTGTACAATGTCTATTATATTTAATGAGTCATAACTAAGATTTATGTTTCAATTTATATAAAATAAATTAGTTTGAAATCATTAACTAAGGATTTGTCCAAACAATTCAATATCAAATATTCATACCAGCAATTGGTGTTATAAATTATCCATAGTACTTAATAATAGTTTGATTCCGGCCATTTACTTTCTTTTATTTTTTTTTCTTTTATTTTGAATAACTATTTGGTTAATCAGATCGAGATAATTATCCATAAAGATTCATTTAATGGCTACAAAACTTATGAAAATTTAATAATTATATGGAAAAAAGACTATTTTTGATTAGATAATTATTAATTTAAAAATTATAACTATAAAAAAATCATAATACTTGCTTCAGCTCATAAGTTCTTCTTATAAATTTACAAATAATTTATTTAAATTGGTCAATATTTGGAAGCTTTTCCCTATACTTATTTAAAAATTTTTTTTTCGAATTTCGCGTTCCTGGGATGAACGACTACAAGACTAACAAATGGTTTTTTATTGGTAACACTTTATTTACATTCAGCAAATTGTCTTTAAAATGAATTGATTAATTAATGAATAAATATACTAACTTCAAAATTAAAATATTTTGCTATTCTATTATCTTTAAAATTTATATGTCTGAGTAATCAATAAAATTGGAAAATCATGAGTTTCTTTCTTTGAATGAAATCAATAATTATTGTAAAATGCATATAAAACTATATTCAAATTTGTTGATACTTTTATAAGTGGAATGAATTATCTAAAAGTTTTAGCTCACTTTTACTTTAAATTTTAACAAAAGTACTATACCAACATTTATAAAAATAACCAGAAATTTTGGGAAATACAAATCAATGCATGACGGTATTGTTAGTGATAACATTAAAATTAAGTCAATCTTGATAGATATTCAAAATAATCATTTAAAAAATTGCTCATTTCTTAACTTATAATTAATTTATAAGAAATACTTAGTCATACCTTACTATTATCCTCATCTGTCTCTTCTTGGTTAGCAAAATTATTTTCATTGATAATAACAATTGGTTCAATGTATTGCTCTGGTGGATCATCGAACATATGACTTTTAGAGTCGATCTCGCTAGTGATTCGATTCTTTCTGATCACTCGTCCATTTTCTTGATTATTTTCAGGATTAGATGAGTTTTGTTCAATTTCATCTATTTCTGACAATGAGTCGTCACCTGAATGGGTGTCAGTAGTGATCTTAAACGAGATAAGTAATATTAATATACAATAAATTATTAAAACAACTAGTAAGCTTAAGTATAGAAATCTTTACACTAGCTTATTTTTCTGATTTTTTTTTACATACTTTTTCAGAATTTCCTTTTTGAATTTTTTGAAAAGCCTGAATTATTTCTTCTGTTCTTTGCTTTTTAACCTTCAATTTATTTTGATTCTTGATCTGTAAGTACAGATTAACAAAAATTATTATTACATTAATTAATAATTCTGCTATGGAATATACAACTATTAAGTTAATTAATTTTGTTTATACCTTTCTCACTAGTTTGGCCTTAGTGACCCCCGATTTCTTGTCTCCATCATCATCATCTGTAGACGTATCTAGAGCTGAAGAATTATTTATCTTCGGATTTCGGACGTGAACATTTTCATTCGACAGTTCCTTTCTAGAATCTGAAATTTATCATAATGGTGTAAAAATAATTGTTTAAGGCAATATCCTTGATCATAGAATTGACGGTCAGAATTTTATAAAACTTGGCATACTAGTACATTATAATAAGATAATGAACCAGTTACATTTTTAGAGTACTGCGGAGATCCATGAGAAAAATGTTGAGCTTTTAAAGTAATAGCGTTAAACATAAACTTTTATGAGAAACTATTTTTTTTATTTTATTTTACAAAAAGTGACGTTCAGATTTCTATAAAAAATTTAGTTAATGCAAAGAAATAACATATTAAACAATTGGCGTAATTAGAAGTAAATAGTCAGAGCATGTGAGAGTTTTATAGAACATTTGACATTTTTACAGTAGTGTTATGGGTGGTAACTTAAATAGCTAGTAAGTCTATAAAAATGTTTTATCACTGATTAAGCATCGATCAGACGATTACATTCATTTTTACAAAAAATAAAGGTATCATATTATATTTTACTGACGGTATAAAATAATAAAGGGAAACAAAAAACTTTGTTTTTTTTTTTTTTTTAATTTTCAAAAGTATCAACATACAAATTCTCTATGACTATAAAATGGTATGAGGTCTGAAAATCACTAAATTTATATGACTTTCAATTCAACGGATGTTATTAAATTCCGAAAAAAATAATTAAAAAACTATTTTATCTATTTGTTTAACAGGCAAACCTCCCAATTTATACAACTTCAATGGCTACACAGTGCATCACAAATTGAATATCATTAGGAAACATTTCCTACTAGATAATATTAATATATGTATTTGCAAGAGTATGCAAATATAATATTACTTGATAATCTATCAAGAAGTTTCGTAATATGAACATAAGTCAAAAATATTGAGTAGTTATTGACAATATACTCATGTTTGTCGTAAAATATTATATTTTTTTACGGCAATTTGAAATGATTTAACAATTTTTGGACAGTATTTAATAAGACTCAAGATCAAATAATTTTATATACCTCCCGATATTTTTGTTTCATCAAGGGTGGTTTTTTACATATAAATTTGTATATATATTTGTACATAATATTAAATAATTTCTTTGATTTCGGAAAAATAAGAATTATATATTAAATTTAATAACTTCTGTCATTCAAATTATAACATAATACAAAACTACATAAAATTTTTTAATCTTTTATTTATAAAATGATAATAAAATTCTCTTTCTTTACTAACATAAATTAAATAGCTGAATCTAACAATTTTTTATAATGAAAAAACTCTTATAATTTTAATGTATTCTTGAGTACAGAATACCTATTATTAGTTAATATTAATACATCATTACTTATGCAGTGTATTATTACTTAAGTACCTAGTATATGTTATATTAAATAAATTGGAATTGAACTTCAACGTTAATCATATTTTAATATAACTTCATCAGATGAGTACATAAACATAATCTTCAACAAGAATTTTCTTATCCTTTTTTATTCACGACGCCGAAAATTTTTAACAACTACACTGTTTACTTACAGAAAATTCAACTGAAACAGAAAATATTTTTAGCAAAGTCAGAGTGTGCTAAGAAGTCAAATGCTATTGTACAAGAAGCAATCCTGAAGTTGCCGACAGAATTCCAAAATGCCGTTAATTCGTGCTTTGAGGCTGCTAAAAAAAAGAACGCTAAAGGTCGACGATTTACATTAGAATGGATATACGAGTGTATATTGATTCGTTTAAAAAGCAAAAACACGTATCAATTCCTGCGGCACAGAAATATTTTACCTCTTCCCTCGATCAATACACTAAATAAATTTATTCGGAAAATTAGCTGTTCTACGTACGGCTTCCAGCCTGCTACTTTTTTTGCCTTAAAAGAAAGATGTCAAACAATGGAGAAAGGAGAAAAACGAGGAGTTATTTTGGTTGACGAGATGAAGTTGAGTGAAGGTGTTTTTTTTGATCAACAATCAATGAAATTTTCTGGTTTTGTTGACCTCGGAAAGCACACCCCAGAGGATTTAAAAAATAAAACGGCAGATCATGCTTTGGTATTCAAATTTGTACCTTTTAAAGGTAGATGGGTGCAATCATTGGGCTGTTTTCTCTCAAAGAACGCTTGCAAAAGCGAACCGTTACATAAACTCATCGTGGAATGTATTATACTTATGGAAAATAGCGAGATCAATGTTGATGCTGTTGTTATGGATGGTGCGTCTTGGAACCGAGGTGTTTGGAAAATATTCGGCGTAAATGAGAATAATATCAGCTGTGAACATCCATATGACAGCTCACGACGACTATGGATGATATCGGATTTCCACCATTTAGTTAAATGCTTCCGAACCTCGACCTTAGATGATAAGCTGCATGAGTTTAAGGTATAATAGAGTACATTTTATTATATTACGAAATTTTGCTATGTTATTCTTGTTATCAAAATTATAAATTTTGCAGACTCCTTTTGGGACAGTAAAGAAACGGCATTGGGAAGCATTGTTGGAAGAAGAAAATTATCGTCAGCCAAACTTGAAAATCGCTTACAAATTAACACCTGCGCATTTAAAACCAAAGGGTTTCCAAGCAATGAATGTTCCTCTTGCTACAGAAGTTTGTTTAATATTTTGATATTTCTATCTATTAATGAATTAATCTATTAATTAATTAACAATTAATTAGTTTTATTATAATATTTTAATTTCGATGCTTACTTATAGGTATTCGGTCATGAAGTATCTGTTGCCATGGCTCATTATCAATCAACCTGCGACGAATTAAAAGATTCAACTCCGACTCAAAATTTTATTGATCTAGTTTTTAACTTGATCCAAGCGATGTCATCACGTATACCGAGAGATGCTTTATATGTAAAAGAAGATTGCCGTCAAAGACAGGTAAGATTGGTTATGAAAACAAAAAATAATCAGAAGTTAAAAAATTCTAGGTTTCTTTGGAAGAATATCACTCGACTAAGCTTTGACTAGACGATCATGGCAATAGTTACCACGTCTAAATTGTCAGGTACTCAATGCCGAACGTTTATGTGTCATAGTAAAAGTATCTTAGAAAAATTTATCAGATGGAAATTTTGATAAATTAAGCATATTTTAGAATCATTTCGTTAATTTGTGTGATAAAATTTTATTTTATACATCGTTTTGAAATTTTAACACTCATTTTTAACACTTCATTTCATATAAACATCTTTCAGAGGTACCAATTCGTGCAACCTTCTATCTCTCTCCCTTCCTAATATTTCTTTTAAAAAAACCAACTGTGAATTTTTACAATAGTTGAATTGTAAAGTTCACAAACACATATTGTATAATTTGCTCTATAGTATTCGACTTTTTAAAACTCTTGCTAGTCTTATTTGTTGGATAAAATTTACAATAGTAGATCGTAAAAATTACTAAATGAGAAGTATAGTCCACCGTTACTATTTTATTTAGTAAAAATTACAATAGTAAAATAGTAATAACTCCTTCAATTTTCTTCCCGTGTACTTGACTATTTTTTAATTTAATTTAACAATTTAATTTGTTCTGAAAAATTATTATTAAAAAATTGTATTTTGAATTTTTTCAAATTTCTGCATGTCATTATTTTGCGGTAATTTATTTCTTAAAAAATTTGAAAAAACTATCAAATATCTGCTATTTTAATTTTCATTTTAATTATGGCTTACCTGATAAACGTAAAATGACACATTTGAATCCTTCGTTGTCTTTGTTGTATTTATACACATTGTTTTTAGTTAAAACATTGTACTCACTGAAATTAAGAATGTAGCGGGTTTCAACAATAACTTTTTTATTGTTGTCACGAGGAACTTTTACCAATGCATACATCATTTTATATGAAAATAAGTATTTATTTAATGAAACCGAAATATACTGCACGGTACACGGCACAGCAATACACGTTAAAGATCACACCCGATAAAGATCCCAAGAAAGTACAAATGAATCGTAAAAGCGTGTCTGTCCGACACCGAGCACTACAGTTTAATGTGCGTTTGCTGTGTGTCACACAGAAGTAGTCAACCAAACTAACGATATTCCTCCTTCCTCTTCCCCTTGGAATCAATGGAAAAAAATTTTTTTTTTTTTATTTAAAACAAAGTATTTTCGGTTGGTTAATACCAATTTTCATCGATTTTTAACGTGATAACGCCTTATAAATCGATGAACACCGACTGCACGCATGAAAAAGTATCACGTTCCGCCTGAGCCTGAGCCTGCAAGCGAGCGCGTGACATACTCATCTCTCTTCTCCCGTGACGCCAGAGCATAAAATGTGCAAAAATTGTAAATAATGTTTGAAAATTAAAATTTAATGTTTTTAACCAGTTTTAAAAACATTTATGTCAAATTATTTTTATTGATAAAATTAATTATAAATTAACAAATTAATTACAATTATAAACGAAAAATTAATAAAATAATTAATAATATAAAAAAATATTTGAATTAACGAGTGTAAATAAATCTTAATTACGTGATAATTCAATTCAATTTATGAAAGTATGCAATTTTTCATCAATTTTTTTATGACGTTATCACGTAAAACTATCGTCCGTAAAGTGACTTTACAGACAAGCCATTTTTTTTCTAATTAACTAAAAGTGATTTTTACTTTTGTAAAAATTTAAATTGAAAATAATTTTTCCTCATCTGGTCAATTTTTTTTTTTTTGGTAATAAAAATTCTTACTCGCAACAAAATTGTTGCAATGTCGATTTTTTGTTGACAGTTACAGCTTTTTATTTATATGCGCACGGTCAAAATTGTAATTTTTTGCGCTATCATTATTTACATTTCAGCAATTATTAGTCCTTAAGTCATCGGCTTGTAAGTAAACAATGAATAAACCTAAAAAATAGTAGCATCTTATTTTTATTAAAAAAAACCAAGCAAAAAAAAAGAGTTTCTAAGAATTAAAAAGACTTATTAAATAAATCAGCAGTAGATTAGACATTTTTCGGAAAAATCATATTTATATAAGGTGGGAATTTTTTCGTCTCTATTTTTTTAATCTCGCGACTTTAAGTATAGAATTTGTAGATGTCATAACGTATGCTTGATATTAATTTAAGTATAAAAAAAATACAACAATTCGTGCTATATTTCAATCACTGTCACCATCATATCGTTAAGTTATATTTTTTAATTTGACAAACATATAATGAATTTCAGGCAACGTTATAATTTTGTTGCTAAAGTCACTACACTCATAAAAAAATTAAGTTGACTTAAGAGCTAAAAACTTGAACCAAGAATACCATTTGATAAAAATGATTTTCTTGAGTCAAGAGAATAAATTTTTTAAACAAAAAAATTTTCTTAGACCAAGAATAATTTCTCAACTAAGGAATTCAATCTTTTGACTCAAAAAAATTATTTTCTTCAAAATGGTATTTTTAGTTTAAGATTTGGCTCTTGAATCAAGTTAATTTTTTTTATCAGTGTATGAATATATATAATGATTCTTAACTTTTATTATTTATTTATTTATTTCTTTTAATACAACTCACCGGCCAAATTAAAATTAATTAGAATATAGTTGTTGTTTATGAAAATTAAAATATATTTTATTACTATAATTATGGTAAAAAAATGTAGTACCAGTGTACTCAATATTTTTATTACCGTTATTTTATTTTCTACTATTATTAATGATGTTAATGTAAGTAACTAACATGGCCTTGCTTATTCCAAAGCTAAATTGAAACAACAAATCAAAACGTATTGAGAATAACAATATTTTAATTTTTTTCAATAATTTTTAATTCTTAAGAATTCTTATACTTTCGAATTCTCATTCTTATAGACAAAGAAATTTTTTTTTTTTTCGTTACTTAAAACTTAGTAAAAGTTCGCAAAAATCATGAGAAGTCAATTTTTTTTCGATACGACCATTTATTAGGTTTAAGAAAAAAAATATATTATAAAAATATTTATTTTTCATCTTTTAACTTTTTGCTTCATAAAATGAACTTTTTGAAGTTTTTTCTATAAAAAATCGATCAATCCAGAAATGATCGATGTTAATTACATTTCAAAAACCACAACTTTAATTTTATCTCAACGTTTTCAAATCCCAAAAGTTTATTTTTGAGTTTTTCATTCTTCGTAAGAGAAGAAATTTAAAACATATTTCATAAAAATTATAATGATAAGTAATATTAAACCTTTTACAACAGAAAGTTTTCGAATTGAGTTGAAGTATAATTTTTATCAGAGAATATAATTTCTTAATATTTTTTGTAATTGAAACGTATATTCTTATCTGTAATTTCACACTTTTTATTAATTAATTAGTCCGTTTTTTCATGGATACTCATAATATTTGAGTATTCTCATTAGTACTTTTCTTGTTACAGTATTTTTTTCATTGCAGCAATTCTTTTTACTACTGAAAAAGTTTTAGATATTAGATACATTATTTAATCACCATCACACCCTTTCGGTATATTTATTATATAATTTGATTCCCCAATCTTCTGTAATATTGCTGGTCGTATTATTGAATTTGGTTTGCATGCCCGTATAGTATCAGTTATATGGCACTCATGAATGTTATGGACAGTTACGTTTTGAGTAGAGTGAAAAAACTTTCCGGTGTGTTTGATTTCTCGATAAAATATAATTATTACTTCTTTTCCGTTCACGTTATTAAAGCAACAAATATTCGTAATCACTCCGTTATTACCATTTTTCAACATAATTATTGTATCGTTAATTTTTTGACATATTCGATAGCTCTCTGAGGTATAACGGTTTCTATTATAAATTAATCTGTTGTAAGAACTACATTCGTCTGAAGCAAAATCAATTGCTTGCTTTTCTACCACACTTAAATTGTATTTACTACCCTTTCCAACTAAAACGCAATCACCAACTGTCAATGTATTTTTTAGTCGACCTGATAGATTTCGCTCGCAAAATTTTTCAAATGCCTCACTAAGTTTAAAACGTTGCCTCAGAAGAGGAAGTGACTTGTGGAAGAAATACTTTCTCGTAATTTGCAGACCTACATGAGTCGGACTTTTTTTCATTTTCAGAACGAAGTGATTTTCATTTTCAAAACAAAAAGTATTGTGTGCCGATAAAGGACCTAAGTTCATAACACTTTTTACCATGTGTAAAAGTAAATGTATGTTGTATGTCATATGTTCCTTTCCAAAATACTCTTGATAGTAACAAACATATCGGATGAGAAGTTCATCTGCAATTTCCAGCATTTCACTTGTTATTTTTTCCTCTAACAGGATTGTCACAGCCTCTACTAGTAACGCTAAGTGATCTAAATACTTCTGTGGAAGTATTTGATTTAAACATGGTAATGAATAGAAAAGCAACCATGAACGCCACTCAGTAGCTTTCCACATATTTCTCTCATTGATGTCTCGAGGCGAACGTGTTATCGATGACGGGTGTTTAAATTTCAATAGTATTTCATTAATTATTTCCACATGATTAGGATTTCCTATGTAATATTCTTTCCCGAACGAAGAAAACAATAATTCTGTATGTTGCTTTATCGTTCCAAGTAAAATTGAATGTAAGTAATCAGGAGACATTCCGCCAACTAAGTCGAAGTAATTCAGGTTCATTAATTGGGATGGACCCCACACACCTTTAACATCTTGTTTATATTTATTTGTACTTGCTAATACCATTTGATTTTTTATAGACTCATCAGTTCTATCTACTGGTACATCCACTGATATTGGGAATTTCCGATAGCCATTGACGCTTTCTGTAGGATGCTCACAAAACGTGCATCCATATTTGCCATTGTATTGTTTCATATTCAATACTTTACACCGCGCAACCGAATCAAAACATGCACACAATGGGATAAATTTACTTGTAATAGTTTGTTCTCCCAATTTCCACTGCAAACCAGTCTTAGACAGATCATTTGCTTCGTCAACAAACGGTTTCAAAAATAGATTCATGTCTGGCTCTACTTTATCTACCCAAATACCAGTCATAATGAGATTTTTTGATCTTAATTTTGGCGGCAATTCATTGATAGTTATATAAATTGGCCAAATTGAAAGCTTACTCGACTTTGCTAATTGGCAGCCGTCCGTGTTGAAAGTGTAAGAAAAATTATATTTATTACACAGAAGATTTTCCGATTCAGAACTCAATAATTTCTTATAAATTTTTCCATCGTTTATATCTTTCAACTCATTTCCTTCTTCATTATCTTCACATTCAATACGTTTTAATAACGCTTCTTGAATTTCTGAATTTTCAAAAATTTGTTTTAATTGATTAGCAAAATCCAGCGTTAGAAAGAAAGGTACATTTGATGGATTGAAATTTTCATCGCAATTCGGACAAACAAAATCGTCAGTGCTAGTAGTAGACTGAACTCCAAAGTAGAAGAAACACTCATTACAATACATGTGTCGTGAGAAGCTACTGTTCTTCAATTCTAAGGTTTTAAATAATTTATATTTGGATGCTGGAACCACATTACCTCCAAATAATGTATTAATCATTGATAAAATACTAGTTATAGTTTTCCATGTTAAGGACTCCTGAGCACCAAGCGAGAGTGTCATCATCAATGCTTCTCCACGAGTAACTGATGTACATTGACAGAGTGGTTGATTATAACAATCATCAGTTTCATGACGGTTGGAAGGAGCCTAGAAAAAAAGCAATATTATTATTATTACGAACTATAATCTGTCATTACTATATTATCAATAGAGTTTTTGAAAAACAAAATTATTATGATTTGGGATCTATTGCTTTTCGGCTATGAATAATCAAACAATCAAGTAACGGAAAAAAATTTTTTTCTTACTATGCTGGTCGAAAGTACGGGGTTCCCGCTGCGATTTTACTGCAGAAAGCCTCACATTTATGCCGTGGTTGAGTCGCACATGCGCTCTATGACGGGGAGCCGAAAAAATGTATTCATGCACTGACAACGAGACACGAGGCGGCAGAAAGTCCGAAAGTCGGTAGTCGCGCTCACTCTATTACTTATGTTTACAAGCCTAACCTTACTTGTGATTGTTATGAATGTATCTGTCTTGTTATGTGTCAATGATTTGAGGTTGAAAACTAAGTTAATTACAGAAAATGAATATTTATTTTAATAAAATGAGACTTGTTAAATATTTAAATTACAAAAAAAAAAAACGAGAAATATTCTTTATTCTGATCGATATTCTCAAATAAATAAATCCATTGGTGAACAAATAATTATTTGAAAAAATATACAAACAGATTTTTTTCTTAATTTTTTTTCTAGGTATGCATTTTACGATTATTATTTCATTTTCTGTTTTTTTTTTTTTTTTATTCTTAAAATCAGAGTTAATTTATGATACATTCATAACGTTAAATTTATTTAATTAAATTAAGATCTTTTCTCAAAAGAAAGTAGTAATACGATAAATTATATATTAATATCTTTATTGACAGGTGTTTTTGATGCCTGACCCCCCCCCCCCCCCCGACCAGCAGCACTCACGGGCACATGGGGCGCAGTGCAGGAATCTCAACTTTCTGCCCTTGTAGTGTAATATACTATTTTTATTTATTCAGTTTTGTATCGGATTTATAAACCATTTATAAAGAACTGACAAATTTCTATATTAATGTTTTTTCGCGGTATCAAATTTAAAAAATTTTTGTTAGCGTGCAGATTTTTAACAATATTTTTAACCGTTAATCTATTAAATACTATACCTCTATGAAAATTAAAAAAATTCTAAAAATTCACGTATCGAAATTTTTTTTTCTATTATTATATTTTTGATATGAAATTTGTTAAAAAAATTAAAATGTAAAACAATTGTCATATCACTCTCAAGTCGTTAATTTAAAGTAACCACGAAATTAGCAAAATTTTCCGATATTCATGAAAAATGTTTCAACGATATTTCTCAAGTTTGGTCAGTTTTCCATGCTTTTACAGAAAGAAAGATTGTATGATACTCCACAAATTTATGTCTTAAAAATTTCAATGAAAACCAGGACAAGTAATATGATTTTTTTCAAGTTTTAATAAATTTTCAAATTTTATAAATCTTTTAAAAGAAAACTCGGGTAATTTCTACTCTTTTGAGAATTTATTTCGATTGAAGAAAAAAAAAATTTATTTTGTTAGTTAAAAGAAAAAAATTTTTAGCACTAAATTAACTGAAAAATTTATATATAAATTTTAATTGCTTTCCTGTAGTTCAATCAAATAAATATTTGTATGAAGTTTAATTACAAGTTTATAAATTTATGGAATATGAAATTTTGTTTATAAGCATAACAGAAAAATAAATCAATAATAGAAATTTATCATTTTAATCATCTCTATAACGTTTCAAAATACAAAAGCAAAAAAAAGAATATTATAGTTGAGAGAGGTAGTTCATTATGAATTTAAACTTACATCACTGATCTCGTCTTTCTCATCTGAACATCCATTTCCTACTTGAGGTAAATCTTCAGCCTAATAAAAATTTTTTTTTGTTAGTAACTGCCATTTATATTTAATTTATGGTGCCGCGACAAAATATCCGTGGACAAAATAACCGCGACAAAATAACCGGACGACAAAATAACCGCGACAAAATAACCGGACGACAAAATAACCGCAGATAAAATAACCATGTGACATTACAACCTAAAAGGGCACAACACGATTATCCGCGTTTGTGTTGATCTAACGTCGAATAAATACACACAAAAATCATGCTAAAAGGGCAAAACACGATTATCCGCGTTTGTCTTGATCTAATGTCAATTAAACACACATAAACACCATGTTAAAAGGGCACAACACGATTATCCGCGTTTGTGTTGATCTAACGTCGAATAAATACACACAAAAATCATGCTAAAAGGGCAAAACACGATTATCCGCGTTTGTCTTGATCTAATGTCAATTAAACACACATAAACACCATGTTAAAAGGGCACAACACGATTATCCGCGTTTGTGTTGATCTAACGTCGAATAAATACACACAAAAATCATGCTAAAAGGGCAAAACACGATTATCCGCGTTTGTCTTGATCTAATGTCAATTAAACACACATAAACACCATGTTAAAAGGGCACAACACGATTATCCGCGTTTGTGTTGATCTAACGTCGAATAAATACACACAAAAATCATGCTAAAAGGGCAAAACACGATTATCCGCGTTTGTCTTGATCTAATGTCAATTAAACACACATAAACACCATGTTAAAAGGGCACAACACGATTACCCGCGTTTGTATTGATGTAATGTCGAATAAATACACACAAAAACCATGTTAAAAGGGGACAACACGATTACCCGCGTTTGTGTTGGTCTAATGTCGAATAAATACATATAAACACCATGTTAAAAGAGCACAACACGATTACCCGCGTTTGTGTTGATCTAATGTCAATTAAATACACATAAACACCATGTTAAACGAGCACAACTCAGCAAAAATATTATGTGTCGGCCTTTTTACAAATAAACATACATAAAATCCATGAAAATAAAGGCACACTACAATTTCTAATTTATGTATCTTTTAAAAATTTGCGGGTGATGATGTTAGATTATTTTGTAACGTGGTTGTAATGTCACATGGTTATTTTATCTGCGGTTATTTTGTCGCGGTTATTTTTTCCGCGGTTATTTTGTTATGGCACCTTAATTTATTATATTTCAAAAATTCGTTTCTCTTACGTCAAACCATTGCTCTCGTTCTTCAATATCTTCGTCGTCTTCACTGTCAGAAAAAAATATATTTTGTTCCATATTCATTAGGTTTTGACTTCTTTGATAGGCTGGAGATATTAAATTGTCATTCTCAGCTTCCATAAGTAATTGACTGTCATCATCCGAAACTTTTTGAGATCCCAGATTATGTTCGTTTTCATTTACAACCTACATCATTAATTAAAAAATTTAAGTTTTCATTAAGATAAAATAATAAGTTTGATGACGATATTCATATTATATAAATTATTAAACGAACATAATATTACATTAAAACAGAAAAAAAAATATAGAAGATCAATTTATGTTCTCATATATTAACTTATTGGGGAGGTCCTTTATTATACATAAATTGGAAATAATCAAAAACCTTCAACTGTAAATAACTAAAGAAACATACATGCATATGTATAAATCAGTTTGGTTAATGATGAAAAAGTGAATAGTTTAAATCCTACAAAACTTGAATATATATGATGCTTAAAAACATTTTTTCGTTCATTATTCATCTGATACTTATTGTGATAATGAAAAATTTTTATAATACTGAAATTAGTACACATTCGGCAACTTTTTCGGTATTTAAACAAAGAAAACACTATTAAAAAATTATTTACAAAAATTGTATTCATACATTTCCAAATGTCTGTTGGTAAATAAAAGTTCTTTAAATTGTCAAATGTTTGTTAACATAAATATCATAGAAATTTTTGCTATAAAAATAACTTTTACTTACATCAAGACGATATTTTTTCAATTTATCATAAAATGTTGACCGAGGCATAATGCCGTTACCGTCCGAACTCAAGTATAATTTATATGGACCTCGCTTCATTTTTAAATTGCACTTGTCACTCACCACACAAAACTGACATTAATAATTCTAAAAAGTTCACATTAATTTATTGTTCATAATAAACAATTTTAGAATATTGTTTTTAATTATTTACAATTTGAGGAGGTTTCGCATTTCACGAAATTAGTTTATTACTAAGTATTTATCACGCATATAAAAAAATTACAAGAGATACTTGTACAAACATATACACATAAACATGGTATATAAAAATGTAATATATAAATAAGTAAAGTGTATATACGATAAATTTTCAGTCCTAACTATATCTAAGCAATAAAATTGCTTTAAATCACCTAAGCTTCACTAATACCACACTTCGCTTGATCTGTATAAATTATATGATTAATTTTGTTATCGATTGATTTCAAACTTTTAATTGAGATGCAGATCGTACTCGCACTACGATGCCAAACACGTGGTTACAACATGAAAAAAATAATGAAAGCAAAGTGAATATAGTCACTGTGTCATCTTAGTTAATATATGCATAATATACTTTGCGCATGCTTCAAGAAACTTTACTTACTCCTATCAGGCGCTAGGTATACCGTACTTGAGGGCCTTAATTTGGTATAGTTATTAACCTTTCAAAATTTTTAATTTAATTTTCAGAAAAATGTCTTTCTCCCATGAAAAAAAAAATAATATATATATATATATATTTCTTAAGTATGTGTCTAGAGATAAATTTTCGAATACAGCCTAAATACTTATCATAATAAATTGACTATCGGTGAGAATGATATAAAGCCTTGAAAAGGCATCACAAATACAAGTCAAGACCTGTGCAATGACATTAAATTTCACTGAAAAAAACCGTTTTTATCATATGACTATCCTGGAAACAAAATTTTTTTTCTTCTCTTAATAATATAGATTACGAAGCGGGTCAAAGTTTAATTGAAAAAAGACACTCGTAGGTCCTTTTTTTACCCAAAACTATTTTTTCTGAGACCAATTGTTTATTTAATAAAAATTGTTAAATTATAAAAAGCTAGAATTTCCGTGAAAAATATTTTCTAAAACTTCGGCAGTGGATTAAAAATAGACAATTAATTATTTTTATGTCTTCGCCGGTATTTTTATAATCTTTAAAGTCTCAGCTTTAAAATCCGCTATTAATTTTTTTTATTTCAACATTTTTTTGCAAAGTTTTTAGCGCCCCCAATTAAAAAAACCCATTTTTTCGCCAAATTCCCTCATTTTTGTTACTTAAAAAATTCATAACTTTGATTCTAACAAAAATTAAGAAATTGGCTAAAATTTATTCAAAAGAAGACACTTAAAGCTACAAATTTTATCTAAATTAATTTATTTTACACCCAATATTTAATTAAATAAGAATAGTCAAAATAAAAAATTCATAATTTTCGCAAAAATAACTCTTTAAAATTCAATCGCTTAATTAAAAATATAGTAAATTAATTATTTTTATGTCTTTGCCGGGATTTTTATAATTCTCAGAGTCTCAGCTTTAAAACCCACTACAATTTTTTTCCTAAAAAAAATTATTTCACAAACTTTTCAGCGCCCCCGCGTCAAGAAACTTTAATTTCAAACTAGGCAAATTCTGATATAAAATTTTGTTTTTTTTTTTTTTCAGACTTAAAAAAAAAACTACCATATGTTAAAGCTTTTGTTGGTGGTTCTTCTAATCGGTATGGTGGCTTTCGTCTATGCTGAGGACGGAGTTGGCGTAAAGGTAATGACCACCGTAAACTCATTGTCAATCTTATAAATAAAATAATCATTTTTTGACTAAATTATTTTCCAGTGCGAACGTACATCATCGTGTCCTTCCAGGATCGTCTGCACTGTACTGTTCCGCGATACCCGTCGACAAATTAAATTTTGCAAAGTTTAAAATTAATAAATCTAATTTGGAATGATTTAAAATGATTTGAAATGATTTAAAAGCATTTAAAAATATTTGATGTAAAATTTGAACAATAAAAATAGCAGCATAAAAAATTTCGTTTTATTTTTTATTTCCTCCGCTTATTAGAAGCCTTGGCTTCCAGATCCCACCTACCAAATATTTACTTTAATTATTTATTCTTCAGTAATTAATTAATTTTAAATTTGTTTGATGTGGCCGTTGAAGCGTCTGTTCATTATAAAATTTTCGAGGGGAATTACATCAGTGTAAATTTAAATACGAGGCTGTGCAGTCGAAATTTTAAAGTCCGTTCAGCAATCAGCAGATAACTTGCTACGTAAGTACCAAAATATTTTTTTTTATTGACCATAACTTATGAACTAATTAATATTACGGAGCCGGATGAAGTTTCATTTAAAGAAGACACTTATTGGTACCTTTTTTATCTAAAACATTTTTTTTAAGACCAATTGTTTATTTAATAAAAATTGTTAAAGTACAAAAAGCCAGAGTTTCCGTAAGAAATATTTTCTAAAACTTCGATAGTGGATTAAAAATAATAAATTAATTATTTTTATGTCTTTGCCGGGATTTTTATAATCTTTAAAGTCTCAGTTTTAAGATCCACTATCAATTTTTTTTATTCCGAGATTTTTTCGCAAAGTTTTCAGCGCCCCCAGCTCAAAAACCCGTTTTTTTTTTTTGCCAAATTCCCGAGTTTTCATTACTTAAAAAATTCATAACTTTTTTTCTAACAAAAATTAAGAAACTGGCTAAAGTTTATTCAAAAAAAGATACTTAAAGCTACAACTTTTATCTGAATGATTTTATTCTACAGCCAATATTTAATTAAATAAAAATAGTCAAAATAAAAAATCCACAATTTTTGCAAAAATAACTCTTTAAAATTCTATCGCTTATTTAAAAATAATAAATTAATTATTTTTATGTCTTCGCCGGGATTTTTATCATCCTCAGAGTCTCAGCTTTAAAACCCTTTACAATTTTTTACCTAAAAAAAATTATTTCTCAAATTTTTCAGCGCCCTCGAGTTGAGAAACTTTACACTGATAGAAGGATTTCTTAACATTTAAGAAGATTTCTTTGTATTTAAGAAATCATTTCTTAAACATCATTTCTTAGCATTTAAAAAATATTTCTTTGTATTTAAGAAATATTTTTTAGTATTTAAGAAATATATATATTTCTTTGTATTTAAGAAATATTTTTTAGTATTTAAGAAATATATATATTTCTTTGTATTTAAGAAATATTTTTTAGTATTTAAGAAATATATATATTTCTTTGTATTTAAGAAATATTTTTTAGTATTTAAGAAATATATATATTTCTTTGTATTTAAGAAATATTTTTTAGTATTTAAGAAATATATATATTTCTTTGTATTTAAGAAATATTTTTTAGTATTTAAGAAATATATATATTTCTTTGTATTTAAGAAATATTTTTTAGTATTTAAGAAATATATATATTTCTTTGTATTTAAGAAATATTTTTTAGTATTTAAGAAATATATATATTTCTTTGTATTTAAGAAATATTTTTTAGTATTTAAGAAATATATATATTTCTTTGTATTTAAGAAATATTTTTTAGTATTTAAGAAATATATATATTTCTTTGTATTTAAGAAATATTTTTTAGTATTTAAGAAATATATATATTTCTTTGTATTTAAGAAATATTTTTTAGTATTTAAGAAATATATATATTTCTTTGTATTTAAGAAATATTTTTTAGTATTTAAGAAATATATATATTTCTTTGTATTTAAGAAATATTTCTTAAATACAAAGAAATATTTTTTAAATGCTAAGAAATGATGTTTAAGAAATGATTTCTTAAATACAAAGAAATCTTCTTAAATGTTAAGAAATTCTTCTATCAGTGTATTTCAAATTTAAAAAATTCTAATAAAAAATTTTATTCATTTTTTTTCAGGCTATCTAAAATAAAACTACAATGTCGAAGCTCTTCTCATTATTCCTTTTCATCGGGATGATGACTTTTGTTTATACTGCAGCTATTTGCGCAACAAGCAATAAAAGGCTTTAATAAATAAACTTGGTATCACACTTGTCGACTTTGCAAACTATAATGTTTTTAGTCCACAAAAATGAGGACTGTGCGGATGACATGGTTTATCATCAAATTCTCTTCCTGCTAATGGACCAATATTTAAAAATTGATCACACCTCTTAATAAAGTAATAAAAATATTTTTTTTTTTTATTTTCAGGGGCAGGCTAAGCCTACCAGTTGACTGCCAAGGAAAAATTATCTCCAATTTCGATTCCTATATATTTATGTTTTTTCAAAAAATTAAATGTAAATTTTAATAGGTATCTTTTTTGTCTAAATCATTATTTTCTAAAACCAATATTTTATTTAATAAAAATTGACAAAGTTTATCATATCACATTATAAGATTGTAACTAAATTTTCTGATAATTTTTCAATGTTAATCTCAGTGTTTTAATTTTTATATAAAACTAGGTCATCAAATTTTCTAATCCAGGAATTTAACATTTAATAACACAGCCCACAAAATTTTATCTCAGACCTCAGATACTCTTATCACGGTCAAAGGTCACAATGTGTTTAGGCTGTTACTATATAAAGCGCCTGGCATTCAAAATTAATTAGTACAAACCCAAAGTTTCCAACATGAAGTTATTTATCATCCTGTTGATGATGAATATTTACCTTGCAAAGTCTTCGGTGAGTATTTTCCGGCGAATCTTCCGTCGGGGGCGCTGGAAATTTAGTTTTATATTAAAGTTTTACCAAAAACAACCTCGGGGTCTCCAAGCTGAAAGTCTTGCCTCGGAAATCCCACCGCCGAAGACATTAAATGTTAACTATTTTTCTGTTACATCCCTCAGGAGAACCAAGTTCTTATCCACGGTCCCGAAACTCCGGTCTACAAGTGCAAATTTTTAAACGCAAGCGTTAAAGTTGAAACTTTTAAGCATGTAAGTTATAATTGACAATTATTTGGTTTTTTATTTATTAAAATTAATTTATACTTACAGAAATTACCGCGTCGTACAGCAATTTACTCCTCTTACAGTAAGTTAAATAACAATCTTTTTTTTTTTAATTAAAAAAAATTATAACATGCTTTACAATGGCAAAAATTCTAATTTTTAAATTTTAATAATTATTATTAAATAAATACAAGCGAGTTTGAATAAAAATTTTTAAAACAAGAAATGTAGCTTGTATATTCTCTTCTTAAAGATAAATTTTATCCAGTTCATAAAATTTAATTATAAAAATAATTATAATAATTTTTAACTACTAAAAACACGAAATTTTTCGAAAATTAACTCATAGAGAAAATTTGATTGAAGATTAAAAATAGACAACTAATTATTTTTATGTCTTCGCCGGGATTTTTATAATCCTCAGAGTCTCAACTTTAAGACCCACTACAATTTTTTTGAAAAAAAAAATTTTTTCGCAAACTTTTCAGCGCCCCCAGGTCAAAAAACTGGTTTTTTGGTAAAATTCCCCATTTTTTATTATTTAAAAATTCGTAACTTTTTTCCTAATTAAAATTAAGGAAACAATTAAAATTATTTTTAAAGAGGACGCTTATAGCTACAATTTTTGTCCAAAAATTTCGCTCTAAAATCAATAATTTATTTAATATAAATTGTCAAAGTTTTAAACTCATTTTCTAAGAAAAAAAATTGATGAACTTAATTGCTTGATTAAAATTAGTAACTAAATTATTTTTATGTCTTCGCCGGTATTTTTATAATCCTCAGAGTCTCAGCTTAAAGACCCACTACAATTTTTTTGAAAAAAAAATTTTTTTCGCAAACTTTTCAGCGCCCCCAGGTCAAAAAACTAGTTTTTTCCGTAAATTTTCCTACTTTTTATTATTTAAAAATTCATAACTTTTTTTTTAATTAAAATTAAGGAACCAATTAAAATTAATTTCAAAAAGGACACTTATAGATACAATTTTTGTTTAAAATCAATTATTTACTTAATAAAAATTACAATTGAAAAATTTATCTTGCAGAAGCGATTCATCCAAAATTAGTTCTAGTGGTGGATTACAACGACTATATTAGAGACGGTGAGAAGAAATCTCTGGAGCGTGCAGTGATAATAATTGAAAATATCAATTCTAATTACCAAGAGGTCAATTCTAACTCAAGAGTTGAAGCGCAGCTCGCTGGAGTCGTCTTAATTACCGTCAGTAATTTTTTAATTCAGTAAATTAATTAACCTGGTCTATAATTTGGGTTATTTTGCTCCAGGATCCGGATGTATACTCACCTCCGAAGACTTTGATGCCACCGGAGGAAGGTACGGGGTCGATAGTCAGATCAGAGTTTTATAACCCGAAAACAGCCTCTTTGATCAATCGCACGCTGCCTCCCTGGGAGAATTATACTTTGGCTGACAAGGAATTGGAGAGGTTCAATGATTGGTGGAAGATTCATAGCCAGCTGTTCGAGGGCTTGGATTATGATGCGTTCATCTATTCATTTCCGTAAGTTAAACATAATTTACTAATAATTTTAAAAAATAATTTTAATTGAATTGGTTCCTTAATTTTAATTAGCAAAAAAGTTATGAATTTTTAAATAATAAAAAATGGGGAATTTTACCAAAAAAAAATTAGTTTTTTGACCTAGGGGCGCTGAAAAGTTTGCAAAAAAAATTTTTTTTTCAAAAAAATTTTAGTGGGTCTTAAAGCTGAGACTCTGAGGATTATAAAAATCCCGGCGAAGACATAAAAATAATTTAGTTACTAATTTTAATCAAGCAATTAAGTTCATCAATTTTTTTTCTTAGAAAATAAGTTTAAAACTTTGACAATTTATATTAAATAAATTATTAATTATAGAGCGAAATTTTTGAGACAAAAATTGTAGCTACAAGTGTCCTTTTTAAAAATAATTTTAATTGGGACCTTAATTTTAATTAGGAAAGCAGTTATGAATTTTTATATAACAAAAAGTAGGGATATTTACGGAAAAAACTAGTTTTTTGACCTGGGGGCGCTGAAAAATTTGCGAAAAAAATTTTTTTTTCAAAAAAATTGTAGTGGGTCTTAAAGCTGAGACTCTGAGGATTATAAAAATCCCGGCGAAGACATAAAAATAATTTAGTTACTAATTTTAATCAAGCAATTAAGTTCATCAATTTTTTTTCTTAGAAAATAAGTTTAAAACTTTGACAATTTATATTAAATAAATTATTAATTATAGAGCGAAATTTTTGAGACAAAAATTGTAGCTACAAGTGTCCTTTTTAAAAATAATTTTAATTGGGACCTTAATTTTAATTAGGAAAGCAGTTATGAATTTTTATATAACAAAAAGTAGGGATATTTACGGAAAAAACTAGTTTTTTGACCTGGGGGCGCTGAAAAATTTGCGAAAAAAATTTTTTTTTCAAAAAAATTGTAGTGGGTCTTTAAGCTGAGACTCTGAGGATTATAAAAATCCCGGCGAAGACATAAAAATAATTTAGTTACTAATTTTAATCAAGCAATTAAGTTCATCAATTTTTTTTCTTAGAAAATAAGTTTAAAACTTTGACAATTTATATTAAATAAATTATTAATTATAGAGCGAAATTTTTGAGACAAAAATTGTAGCTACAAGTGTCCTTTTTAAAAATAATTTTAATTGGGACCTTAATTTTAATTAGGAAAGCAGTTATGAATTTTTATATAACAAAAAGTAGGGATATTTACGGAAAAAACTAGTTTTTTGACCTGGGGGCGCTGAAAAATTTGCGAAAAAAATTTTTTTTTCAAAAAAATTGTAGTGGGTCTTAAAGCTGAGACTCTGAGGATTATAAAAATCTCGGCGAAGACATAAAAATAATTTAGTTACTAATTTTAATCAAGCAATTAAGCAATTAAGACTTTTAGAGACTTGTAATTAATAATTTTTAATGATTAATTTTAAATAATTTCGAATTTTTTAGATGGTACCTCGCTGGAGAATCTATTATAAAAGAAGATATAATTATACTGTGGTCTTTTTCTAACGGAAAGATCTGTAAATCAAAGCCGGGAGCGATTGTCAGTTCTTTGTTTAAAGATTCGCACTATTCATATGCCCTGGAGGTTTCTTATTTGTTAGTTTATTTATTTTTTAATTATAATTAACTAATAAAGAATATTTTTAAAATTATTTTGGGAATTTTTTAGCCTCGGAGTGACTGCGGAAAATGATAGTAAAAATTCTCATTGGTACACTTGGCATGTAACTCAAAATTATTTTGACAAAATATTACTCTGGAGGAATCACACTGCTGGAATTGTCGAGGATAATGACCAGCGTGAGAGATACACTTGTCTAAGATGGCGCAGACGTAAGGAAGATTACGATGATGATTTATATTAAATATTGATGTATAAACAATGAAAAAATAACAAAAGTTGTTTTTCTTCTCAAAATTATATTATAAATATAAGAAAAAAAATTATTTTAAAAGAATTTTGTAATTTTTTGCTGAAATTTTGATTTTTTAAGTTTGACAATTTATATCTAATAAAATAATGGAAGAAAAAAAATGTTTTACACGAAAGTTGCAGCTTTAAGTGTCTTTTTTTGAATAAACTTTACCCGGTTTCTTAATTTTAATCAGAAAAAAAGTTATGAATTTTTTAATTAACGAAAACGTGGGAATTTAACGAAAAAACTAGTTTTTTGATCTGAGGGCGCTGAAAAGTTTGCGAAAAAATTTTTTTTTTCAAAAAAATCATAGTGGCTTTTAAAGCTGAGACTCTGAGGATTCTAAAAATACCGGCGAAGACATAAAAATAATTAATTTACTATTATTAATTAAGCCATAAAATTTTAAAGAGTTATTTTTGCAAAAATTATGAATTTTTAATTTTGACTATTTTTATTTAATTAAATATTGGGTGGAAAATAAAATGATTTTGATAAAAATTTAGCTCTAAGTGTCTTCTTTCGAATAAACTTTGGCCAGTGTTTTAATTTTGATTAGAAAAAAAGTTATGAATTTTAAAAGTACTTAAAACTGGGAAATTTGACGAAAAAACGGTTTTTTAAACTGGGGGCGTTGAAAACTTTTAAAAAAAAATGTCAAAATTAAAAAAAATCATAGTTGATCTTAAAGTTAAGAATTTAAGGATTATAAAAATGCCGGCAAAGACATAAAAATAATTAGTTGTCTATTTTTAATCTTTAATCAAAATTTTCCTGGGAGGTTTTTTAATAAATATTCCATTTTTAGTACTTTAAAACGTTATAACTATTTTTTAATTAAAATTTATTAAAAATAATTAAATTTAAATAAAAAATATTTATCTTATCAGAATTATTAATTTTTTTTAATAAATTTTTGATATTTAATCTTAATAAATAATTATTTTAGTTTAAAAAATTTTTAAATATTCGCGGGCATTTTATATTTTCCCCGCCATTACCTTCCGCGCATGCGCAGATAATATTATTTACTCACCACGTATTTATTGCACTTTTGATAGCAATTCTTCAATTTTTCAATCTTAAAAATTTTTAATTAATATTTTGTAATAAAAATAAAAATTTTTTACCTTCTAAAAAAATAAATAAAATTATTTTCAACAATCTAACCTAACAATTGTCATAATAATAATAAACTTTGACACGTCTGTTGGTATTTAAAAAAGCTCAGTGATGGCAGTGTAACCCAAAACATGACTGAAATACTGAAACAATATAATGTTAATAAATAGATTAAATAATTTAAATTTACAGTTTATTTGTTTTAAATAAAATGGAATTTTTCAAGAATAGTTTTAAATCTGTCCTCGGTGCTCCGGACCCAGAGAACCAGCCGACTGGAGCCGACACGGTGAGTTCCTTAATTACTTAGCCTGAAAAATTTTTATTATTATTTTTTTATTTATAAAAGTTTATTATTATTATTATTATTAAAAATTATATATTTAAAAAATTGCAATTTTTTATTTGTAAAAAATTTATTTTAAAAAAATTGTGAATATTCTGGTAATTTTAATGATAATTTACTTCCATATTGATGATCTGACATTTTTATAAAAATCAAGTGTTAGCTGACAGCTGACAATTTTTATTTATTTTTTTTTTAATAAAATATTTATAAATAATTGACATTTAAAAAATTTTTAAAATAATATTTAATTAATTTAACAAATGTTTCATAATTAAAAAATTTTTCTTTCAAAAAAATTTGACATGCAAAAATATTAAAAAATAAATAAAATGAAAAATGCAATTTTTTAAAAATAATTTTTAAAAAATAGACTAACTAGGTAATTTTCTAAAATTTAATTTAATTTACAAAAAAAAAATTATTTAAAGTTTGATAATTTCAACATAAAATTTGAAAATTATTATTGAATTAAAAATTAGTAATTTTTGTGACAAAAAAAAATTGACATGTAGAAATTTAAAATGAAAAATGCAATTTTTTATAAATAATTTTTTGTAAAAAAATATTTTTAAAAAATAGACTGAAAAATTTTATAAAATTAAATAAATAAAATATTAAATAATTAAACTCTTATTAAATTGCACTGTACTTTCTTAAATATTTATATATAATATATATTTTAAAGATATAAGCTCATCCCGATGTTACACTCGTCAAGAGCTTTCATTTGAGTACCCACTTGCATTTTCGATATATTTTTCATATATACTTACATATGATATATATATATATAATATATAAATATATGAAAATTAGATGTGGTACGTCAAATGAAAGACTT